TAGAAATCAGTTGGGGATTATTAAATGTTTTCCCGTTTTATTTTCGATCAATATTTCATTTCACTATTTGTCGTTATAAATCGTCTTGATTTGAATATTTTTCAATAATGTAAAAAAGTACTAAAATAAACTTATACATGCCTACTTAGTTGTATAATAATAAATAGTTACCTGGAGCAAATATTTGATAGCAGGGTAGAAGCTTTTATCGCAGGCATCTAGAACCGACATGATTTTCTTAGGAATTTCAGATTCTTGTATATTTTTCCATTTTGTATTCCACAGCATATACTCTGCCTCGACCTCACAATCAGACCACTGACTATCGTAGAACAGCTTCAGTGTTTTCAGTTTGTGAATGTTTGTTTCTTTTACATTCTTTGGGAGTAAACAATCTAGAGCTTCCAAAATATCTCTGTTTTTCCCAAACCGCTCAACCAAATTAGAAATCAATGAATCTACACATGGTATGAATATTGATCGACGATAATATTCTTCAGGAGTAGAGTAAGGGGGGTTGTCTCTTTTAGTTTGCTTCCCCACTAGCCGGGGCACAACAATTGCTGTTCTAAAATTATCTGGAGACATTTTTTCAGCCTTTTCAAATAACCGATGGAATTGCCTGATATCACTGCTGTCTCCATTTTCGGATGGTTTACGCAAATCCTTCAGACGTTCAACCGTGTCATCAGCAAATTTTAGGGCAGATGACAGGTCACTCTCAGGTTTCTGGAGATATTTTGAAAGAGGAAGGGTGATGCTGAATATGAATTCACACACCACCATTGCAACGAGAAAACTTCCTTTTTCGATAGAGGCTAGAAGATTGGCAGCTGAAGACGATATTGCTCTATTGGACGTAGATAACTCTTCCAAAGTAGCAACTATGGCTGGAAATACTTCGACAAATGTATGGACAGAATCTTGTCTTTCGATGAATCTTGTATCACACAGGCGAAGGAGGCGGCTTTTTTGAGTTTCTGGCACAAGATTCTCAATATACCTCTTTAGAATATCACCGCTTTGAGTATTATTTCTCATCATATTGGCCACTTCATTTATAGTTCCCAAACAATTCCTTATGTAAGGCATGTCTAAGGAGTCACTCAACACCAAATTTAGACGATGTGCAACACAGTGCACATAAATAGCTTTGGGGTGTGATTCCCGAAATCTTTGATGTACGCCAGACAAATGTCCACTAAACGTTGAACAACCATCGTACCCTTGACCAATGACTTTATCCATGTTGAGACCTACACTTACACAAATTGTTAATATAGTTTCATAAATGCTTTCAGCAGACAAATCTGTTATGTGGGTGAATGCAATGAAATCTTCTTTAAGGATCGGTTTGTTTTCATTCAAAATGTACCGAATGCAAAGTGAAAACTGCTCTTTCCCAGACACATCAAGCGTTTCATCTCCTAAAATGGAAAAACACTCTGCACTGTTTACAGACTGAACCACTTTTTTCTGTATAAGTTTTCCACAAATGACAATAATCTCATTCTGGATTTCAGGGCTTATATAGGTTGCATTTCGTGCAGAGTTAAAAATGTGTTTTTTAAAACTTTCATCGGTGACTGCCCGGTACCTGAGTAAGGCTCGAAATTTGCCCTCCTTTTCTAAAGGTTTTTCGGGCGTCAGTGGCCCACTGTCCCGATGTCCCCGAAGAGGTATTTCATTTTCTCCACATAATATAATTGTGTCAATTATAGGCTTGAGTGAAGCTCTGTTTTGTTCTCTTTCTTTTCTCTTCTGCGAATCCAACATCACTGTGATATCTTCCATTCGGCCAGAGTCGACCTTCATAAAGTTTTCTGCAGCTAGACAAGAAAATTTGTGGTACTCAGAGTTGCTGTGAGAGGTGAATTTATCTATTGCGTCTTTCCACTTTCTAAAAGGCTCCCAATTTTTGGTGTTGGCCTTTACCAGTGAACTCATTGGCAAATAACACACAAAACTTGCAGTAAGTTCCATCCTTAGCCTTAGAATAAGCCAGCCAATTAAACCTTTTTAGCCAGGTCCTCTGAAACTTTAATTTTTTATTGTTGATCACGGTTACTGGAAAGCTAAAATTCTCATCCGGATAACATAAGTCATTCAGCACTTTACTTTTCAAATCCGTAGTTTTACCAAATCTGGTTGTGGAGTGGAATAAATGGTCGGAAACTATGCCAATATCTACAGAGGTTAGGCCAATGCTTACTTGGGAATCTGTAGGCCTACTATTTCTGGATTGGTCACAAGACGATGAACAACATGGATCTGGAGTCAACGTAATGCTTTCTTCTTCTATCGAGCCAATAGTGGTTCCTTCTATTTTTCGTGGCAACAGCGGAACTAACACTTTGTCACTTGATTCCGGGTCCGTTTTTAAGGTTTTTGGTTTAAAAAACTGATCTATGGTTCTCTTACTCATTTTTAAAAGAAGCTGTAGTGAAGATTACAATATAAACTTGAGTCATTAGCGTGAACCAAACATCAAAAGAGCAACACTCGTCGGCTCATCACGTCACTATCTACCTTATCCGCCCACATGCAAAGCTTCAACTGTACCGTAAAGGCGGACAGCGGAACAGCGGAACAGCGCCGGCGCGGCAGTCGCTCAGTAGCGCTTCCACTAGTGTTTGACCGCGGGCGCGGCTGCCGTGAGAGCTAGACAGTCGAAACTTTTGAATGTGTTGATATTTCGGGGGGGGTCCGGACCCCCCCTCTCGCTACGCCACTGGGTGGATGCGTCGACTACTAAGAATTCTGGTCGTAAACTCACTCCGTTCTCGAAACGTGCGGGTGGAGGGTGATAAATTTTGCTTCGCGAAAATCTCCGGTTATAACAGAAACATTGATGCTGTTCACTACTATATGCAGTCTAATCATCTCGCCATGCCCTTTTTGGCGGAGACCGAAATCTCAGATTCTGCACCGATGAATCATCTTAGCTTGCAAAGTTACGAGGTGCACTCTAATGGGGCAGCTGTGATTTTCGTCACCACCTCTTTTCTACTCCAGGTCGCAAGGACATTCTGTCGCTCTCCCTCGGACCATAACTGGGATGGCCTATTTAAGTATCTCTCTGTCAAGATAGACTTCCCGAACAACAATAACCCTGCTTCAGAAGTAGTTCTCCGCGGTGATTTTGATGCCCATAATGAGCTCTGGTTGGGCTAAAACAAGAGCGAGTCAGCAGGTCGTGCTGTTGATGCGCTCGCTATTGCTCAATGACTGAACCAGCCGGTGACGAGCCCTATTTCCTTTCCCGAGTTTCGTCACACGCCAGTAGCTTGGTCAATCTCTTTCTCACCACGCAGTCTGTACCCTACAACACTAGCCCTGTTTTCCCTGGGTAACTCAGACCACGGTGCGGAGGTTAGGTTGCGGCTAAGCCGGCTGTAGCAACAGAAACTCACCCAGGCATTACGGACATGTCGACTGGGAGGCGCTTTTTCTCCACCATTCTTTGGAGTAATGTTTGTTTCGCTGACCTCGATTCATCGACTGTCTGTTGACCAGTAACATAAATTATCCACTTTGTCATGGAGGAACACACCCCTCATGTAGTCAAAGTGCCTGAACTAGGGACCAACGGCTGGGTCACCAAATTGTGTGACACTGCTCGTCAGCAGAATATTAAGACACGCAGAAAGCACAAAGTAAAAATTAGACAAAGAGTAATGTCGCAGCGCAATAGCGGTCGGTCTTTCTGGATGCCCTCCCCCCGCCACGCCCGAGTGCCGTCAATTGAAACAATTCCCTACACTATGAGGAATCATAAAAATACCTGATAACGGATTGTGTGACGAAAAACAAAACCTGCATTTAACTGAATTATGATAGCTAATGCAAAGTATACTGTTTGTAAACCGTATGATTCCGAGGTAGGTCATACATACCAAGGTAACATTCAGGTATGAGACTCTGGGTCGGGTGCTCTTGTCGTTTGACATCAACAAAGCTTCTGGTGCGGACTTGATTCCTGCCGTTGTATTGACAAGGTGGGCAGCAGAGCTTGCCCCAGTGCTTTGGCATCTCTGCCAGATGTCTTACGAATCCGGTACCTTCCTAGAAAATTAGAAATTTGCTCATGATCAGCCCTTCTCAAAAAAGGATTTAAGACCGACCCTCACAACTACAGGCCTATAGCTCTGCTTTCTGTTACAAGTAAGGCGATGAAAAGGGAGCTTCTGGAGTTCCTCGAACTCACGGCTTGGTTAACGACTGGCAGTATGGTTTCCGGCACCAGCGATCTACAGAGGACCTCCTAGTTTGCGTAACGCAGTTGTGGAGTAAACTCATCTAGACTTATAGTTACGCTCGTGGCAAAGCGTTCAGTCAGCTCTGGCATGCTGCCCTCTTGTTCCTTCATCCCACAACATCAGCGCGGTTGTTCCCCAGGGATCGGTCTTGGTTTCGACTTTGTTCCTCTCACATATCAACGACCTTCTTTCCTGATCCAGTCCACAGCTTTGTTGATGACAGCACTCTCTGGAGTGCTACCTCCCCGACTTCTTTATGCATGCTCGATGCTCTACAAACAAGAGCTGTCCGATTGATCGATGACTCTTCTCTAACAGTTCTGGGACCTGGCACCGGCGGACCGTTGTTCAACAAAATCCCTACACTTCAGGGGCGTTAAAATTGTAAGCATGCTTTGGGATTTTATTAACGGGTGTTTGAAAGAAACATTAAATTTTCGTTTTTTCTTTGTTTGCTGAGATCGAAAATGGCACTATTCGCAAATGTTCGAATATTAAGCCGCATATATCTGCAAAACCATAAATTTCAGAAAAGTCCATTTTCGAGGGCAAATAAACTATTTTTGGAAATTGTTTAACATAGCCTGTTAAATATTTTTTTAACGAAATTGTGCTTGCGTGCAGATTCATCAAAGCCGAATCGCAATATTTTTCCTAGGAAATGTGACGATACTTTCTGGTCTAGATTGGTCATTACCAAAATACAGTGGATTGGCGTTTAAATATAATAACCAGTAATTGCTACACCTGAACCACTCTAGAAGAGAAATCGAGAAAAAAGTGCAAAAAATTATCTGACAAACAACACAGTCTTTTCATTACCTACATTCTGGTTCCATCCAGAAAAACCGGTAAGCTAACTTGTGTACCTATGTTCGCATATCAAGAATGAGTTAATTATGTTTAAAACAAATGGCCAAGAATGAGCAATAAGTCAAATACGAAGTGCACAGCATAATTATCGAAAACATTTGATAATGAATGCTCACTTGTTACGATTGATAGACAAACTCTGACTACTAATACTTAGGAAGATAATCATTGGAAGAATTATTTGTTCTGTAAAGTACCATTGAACTTCCCCTACAAGGTGACTTCATCACGAGTTATTTGGTAAAAATTGAACATGTTTTTGTTTGTTTTTAGCTAATTTTATTTAATATGGATGTTAAACTTCATCTTTTTCCGTTTTTATGTTTCTAAAGGAGGCGACCATAGAAAAAGTCCCTCACATTAACCCTTAACTGGCGTAGTGGATTATTTTTGCATTTATGGCGTCCTGACGTCCTTGGGACCCCGTAATTAAATCCGTAACAAAAACATTCTGTGTGTAGTATCAAAGTCAAACATTTTTGAGAAATGCTTTAACATGTAAATAATTCATTCATGTCACACCGTTCCCAAATATAAAAAAAACATAGTTGTAATTTGAATATAATTTACTCAGAAAGTTTTACAAAACGAAAAGAACAAAAAAAAATTGAAAATCAAAAACACTTTTAGAATAGCTTGATAATTATTGAACATAGAAAAATACATATATATAAAGGCAATATTACACTCTTAGATAAAAAATGTGCAATAGTTCATTGTGCACTACTTTCTGAAGCACAGGATGCACAGAACGTTTTACTACATTCTAAACATATTGGATGTCTACATGCATAACACAAGTAAGCTGTTTTTCTTCGCTTTTTTGCAGGACATATTGAACATGCCTTCCTTTCTGAACGTTCTAACTTATCAGATTAGCTACTTTCAGCTGTATATAACCTTTCACCAAGGACTCGTCCAATGGACAGTCTGAGGTCGCGTGGTAACCTCGCATTTTGAAGACGAATTCTCATATATGGCTCTATTGTTTTGCTACTGTCTTCATGAACTGTGATCGACTTAAAATTTCTCTATCACGGAGAGATTGATGTAAAATTTAGGCATTGACAACACTCATATCTAAGATACGAAAAAAATGTGGCCATAGTCCAGCGACGCGTTCGACGGCTGGACGAATAGACACTGCACTTTTGATCCATAGTATCTACTCCGCCTTTAGTCGTATTATAATAGTCGACTATTTCTGGTTTCTTAGTAACAGGATCTGTCCCTACAGCATGATGCATAGACGATAGCAGTAATACGGCCTTATTTTTCTTTGGTACATATGACAGTAGCGTGTAGTCTTTGGTAAATCCGTAAATTGAAGAACCTATTTGCCTTCTACAAGATGGCTGAAAATCATTGGGAACCTCTCTTTTGTTTTTTTTTCAAAGTTCCAACCAAAGTAAGTCCATTTTCTTTGAGAACTTGAGCTACGTCCATCGAAGTGTACCAATTATCCGTAGTGACGTTACGGTTAGTCCCGAATATAGGCTTGCACAACCTTATTACTGCTTGGGTGGCAATCCCAAATTTCTTTTCATGTTGAGAAAGTCCGATGCTGTCGCTTCCTTTGCCGCAATATAAATATGTATGTATTATAAACATAGCCTGTTCTGGCATCAGTAAGACATTGCAGTTTTAAGCCGTACTTTGCAGGTTTCGATGGCATATACATTTTGAACCGGCAGTGTCCACGAAAGGCTATTAGCATTTCGTCTACGGTTGTGCTAGAACCTAAAGAATATGAAGCCTGCGAATTTTCGTTGAATCTGTTCAATAATTCTGATACCGCTGCACATGGGTTGGCTTCTTTTCGGTAGTTTCTATCATCTGGATTGTCAAATCTTAAAAAATTTAGAAGTATAATAAAACGTTTTCCTGATAAAGAAAGCCTAAATATTTCCCGTCCGGTACCGTCCGTTGCAAAAAGTGACGATATATCCTCATGGTTGGACTTAAAAACGGCCGTGTAGATTAGAAGTCCTATGAAGCACCTAATTTCTTCTTTAGTAGTATCTCTGAGTTCAGTCCTTGAGGGGTCGAAAAATTTTGACCTAGAGCTCTGTATCCTTTTGTTGGTCCATTCCTGAATTTGATCCATCATTTCCTCCGTAAATATGGACATGAAGGCAGTCAGAGGATCTAATTTTGTTGCAGAAGACCTAGATGTTGGTACCTTGATGATATTATGCGCCGGAGTTCTCACATTTCTATTCGGAGGATTTGCCAAACATTTAAACCTATTTTTGTCATAAAAGTACCTGACATCCATACTTAGTTCATTCTCGTCGTTACCTTCTGATTCACTTGAACGAACGCTTCCTTCACTGGCGGGTCCATCTTCATCTGCAGAAATGGCTGAATCTGTATCGTGTTCGCTTTCTGAATATTGATCGTCTTCTTCTATTTCCGATAGCTCAACATCTGAATCCAGAGACTCCAACATTCGCATCACTTTACGTTCAAAATCTGGATCATCTAGTTTCACACGTTCAGGTATAGGTCTGTCAGCCATTTTGTGCCTACGTTACATTGAAAAAAAAAAACTGTAGCAAAGAATACCAATGCGATTTTTATAGCATTCTTACCGTTGTGACGTCCCTGGGACACCAACCACTCATTTACGCAAAAACGGAAAGCGATAAAACAGTGACACTCCAGCCTAGAGTTGAACACACACTGACTGAGAGGTATATGAACGCGCAAGCCGAAATTCTGAAAAGTGGTGAGGGAGCGTCTGTAAACGTATTCTCAGTGGTCCCAGGGACGTCACCACGCCAGTTAAGGGTTAAAGATCGCTTTAATGTAAATTGATATCTGATCACTTGCTTTCAGTGACTGGATCGTCCAACATGACACCAAAAGCTTTATCTGCAAACGTTCTAGCTGCCTTGGAAGGAGTCAGATTCATTGCGCAGCATATCAGGGATGCAGACAAAGACAATGAGGTGAGAAAAACGTTTATAATAAACTAAGGCCACGTGAAAGTAGTGTAAAGTATAAATGTCATTCGTTTCGCATTAGTGTGAACATTTTTTATAGCTTTCAATGCAACAAAAGATTATTTTCAATGTGTTGCTTTTTATCTTATCGATAAAAAGTAAGGGATTTACTTGACCATATATTCGATGACCTTGAAGGTCATGGCCATGTATGTTAGCAATGATATACTTGAAAATTGTCCGTAATTTGTGTTCCAGGAATGAAAAATAGATATTTCACGTTAGAAACCCAGTTGATCTTCAAATGACCTTCATGGTCATAGTCAAGGTCATAGACATACTTAAACATAGGGTTTCTTGCCTTTTCCATCTCTGGTGTCAAAAATAGGAGCTCACATTCAAGAAAACAACCTTCAAATAAGCTTGAAAGTCTAGGGCACGGTCGCGTTCAAAGTCACCAATATCTGAATCTTTCCTTACCTCACAACTTTATTACATAACAAATTTTTAATGAAACGTAGTTTATGAGATATTTTCCCTTTCCCTACTTTCTGGACACCCTCAAATATCCATGAAAATCATTGCCAAAGTCATCGGCAAGAACATACTTTTTTCGGTGTTTACATCTCCGATGTCAGAAAGAGGGGTTTCAGTTAGGAAAATTCTGCTGACCTTCAAGTGACCTTTAAGGTCCTAGTCAAGATCATCAATGAGTATATATCTTTCCATACCGAACAAATTTGTTTTACAAGGTTTTACACTGGACTCTCTATGCGCTATGTATGGGCATAACTCCATTGGCTACGGGGTGCACATGCCTATTACGAATCAATATACAGAAATAATAATTTTTGGAGAAACGATGCGCAAACTATGACCTACACTATCTAATAGTAATAATTAATAATAATAATAAAAATAATAATAATAATAATAGTAATGATAATAATAATAATATTAATAATAATAATAATAATACCCCGCAGGGGGTATCTACTTTTGAAGCTGGACCTTTGATCCGGTTTCAAGGGAAGATACATGGGGAGCGTCGCCCCCACGGCCCCAGGCAGGGAGTTGGTATTCTTACTAATTCTGCCAAACCCTGGACTTTTCCTTTCCCCTTTCTCCCATCCTTTCTCCTTTAATTATATCCTGTGCAGCTGTCCGCTGCCCTCCCGACTTTCCTTCTCCTATCCTTACTCCATGCGTTGAGGCGGCGTGTGGGGCTTCCTCTTAGCCTCCCGGGTGTTTGCGCCGTGCCCGGCGACCTGTAAGCTGGCCAATGGAGTCCTTGTGGTTGAGCCCTACCAGTGAGGGGAGCAAGACGCCACTTTGGTCCGGCGGTCAGTGTAGAAGGGGGGCCGCGCCTAGCCCAGCGCCGGTCAATCGACTGTACCTGTGCCTGTGATTCAATATATCCCACCCCCTGTACGCTGTTTCAAATGTCAACGGTACGGCCATACCTCGATGTCATGCCAAGAGGAACAAATCTGCATTTGCGGTAAGAAAATACACACTGGAAAATTCTCTGATCAGCCCATAAGTGTGAAATGCGATGGCCCTGACGCAGCAAACTCCAAATTATGTCCAAGGTATAAGACAGAATCAGCTATACAGAAAGTTATTACTATCGAAAAAATGAGTTATGCTGAAGCTAGAAGAAAGATAGTAATCCCTACCCCGCAAGCAAATTTATCATATGCACAAGCATCTCATAAACGCCCAGACGATAGAGTAACAGAGAGAAGATTACACCTATAACCTAACAGCTATAATCAGAACGTCTCGCAAGCCATAGAAAACAAGGCAGTATGCAGCAGCACACCCCAGCAATTTGTTGCTCCATTGCCAAAGATAAGTCATGGGATTGCGTCTAGAACTAGAAGCCAATCAGATGCTTCTAACTCGTCTAAAAGAAAAGCTACCTCTCCTGTAGATGGATCTGAACTTTACCGGTGAAAGTCTCACCTCTTCTCAGACTGACGATCCAGAAGCAAAAAAGGGTACCCGAGGCTGGAAAAAGGCAGACCTCGTAAAACAAGAAAAACCGCACTGTTTCAGTCGGAACAGCCCGTTCGGAGTAATGATACAGAGCGTCCCAACCAACAGAACTTCGAAACTGAGCAGTTGTCGGAGACTGGGGTACTTCTGTAATAAAATTAACTGTGATATTTTAATAAACTTATAATGTACTTTTCAATTTGTTTATTCGTCTATTCATTCATTTATTCACTTAATAATTTATTTATGTATTTGTCTATTTATTTATTTGCTTATTTACCTCTCATCCTCTATAAACATTATGTATATATCGTTAATCTTCTCCTGAACCTTGCATGTATGAAATTAATCTACTCTACTCATGCAATCCATCATCCAGTGGAATATTAATCGGTGTGTTAATCACTATCCAGAACTGAAATTACTCATGCAGGAGAAAAAAACCCTTTTGTATCTGTCTTCAAGAGACCCATTCCTCTCCAACCACGAAATTCTAGCTAGGTGGGTTCAAATGTGTAAGAAAGAACGATACGCCGCAAATCCGTGCCAAGGGCGGCATATTTCTGGATGTAAACCTCCCCTTTACAGAGGTCAACATCACATACGAGCTGCTGGTTGTTGCTGTTCAACTAGTAGTACCTATAAAATTGACCATATGCAACATACACCTACCCAATCAAAACTGGGAATATAATCAATTGAAAAGCATATCTGATCACCTTCCAAAACCCGTTCTCTTAGTAGGAGATTTCAACTCGCATAACCCTCTTTGGGGCTCACAAAAACTGGACACCAGAGGGAGGGGGATAGTGGAATATACCTATATAATTAACGAAGCAAATTGAGTGGTGCTGAATAAAGGCGAAGGTACATTTATTAACTCTAGGTCATGCAACTACAGTGCGATAGACTTGGCACTTTGTAGCCCAAATGCATCATATATCTTTGATTGGGAAGTTTTAGATTATCACTCATCTGACCATCTCTCAATACTACTTAACTGTGCCGTACAAAATACCACTTGCAGAAAGGTGGAATGTTAAAAAGGCAAATTGGGAGAAATTTCGAGAACATTTGACTCCAATGCGAATAGGTGATTCAATATTTGAAACCATCAGCAACGTTACTGATAGTATATTGTTAGAAACACGGGTGGTCAAACACTAATTTTCCACCAATCAACTTGTGTTAACAACAATAATAATAGCACAACGATTTAACGTAATTTCGAAGCATCAGATTATCCGAGCACGATGTGCGCTGCTCGACGTTACAGCTCGCTCTGCCAGAGTCGGCGGCTGATCGTCGTTCCCTCAGCTACCACAGAGCAGCAACTAATCAGCAGTACCCCTTCGTGACCGGCGACGTTCTCGATGCCCTCTGCACCACAGGCCGAATCTGTGAATCAAAGGCATACACAAAACACTCCATGTACTTGCGCCACAACTATTATCTCACAAATATGATTCAAATCTGAATCAACCACTATCGGTACCGGACCAAAATTCACAATTCGATTACAAAATTGCACGTAAATTCAATTAAATAAACCTTTAACAGTGACGGCGACGACCGTCTCATTAAAATAACAACTCTAAAACTGCAGTACTAGTAGCTCTACTACTAACAAGACAGAGACCAATCTTACAGTATCCCTGAAGACCTCAGCCTTCAGCTGGCTCTGCTACTGACGAGACAGAGACCAAAATAACAGTATTCTAGAACACCTCAGCTTTCAGCTGGCTCTGCTACTGACGAGACAGAGACCAACATAACAGTATTCCTGAAGACCTCAGCCTTCAGCTGGCTCTGCTGCTGACGAGACAGAGACCAAAATAACAGTATCCCTGAAGACCTCAGCCTTCACCTGGCTCTGCCGCTGATGAGATAGAGACCAAAATAACAGTATCCCTGAAGACCTCAGCCTTCAGCTGGCTCTGCTGCTGACGAGACAGAGACCAAAATAACAGTATCCCCGAAGACCTCAGCCTTCAGCTGGCTCTACTACTGACGAGACAGAGGCCAGGTTGCAGTTTCCATGGAGATCTCGGCCTCCATTTGGCTCTACTTCTGACGAGATAGAGACCAACATTAAGCAAGACAGCACATCGCAGAATATAACCAGATATTTACTGACCTGGTTCTTCCTCAGCCCGCAGAAATTCAAGTATATCTCCCATATCAACATTGGAGGACCACTGTACAGCTGTAGCTGTTCCTTAGCTGCCTTTGTTATGATGGTTGTTCCTTACTTCTTAATCTAATAACGTCCAATTTCCACTTCATAAGGACCAAGAAACTCATAGTCGCTCTTGCTTATATGCATCTGAGAGTCCCGGTGCATCAGTACAAAATCACCACTGAAAATTGCACTTTGTCCCTTCTTTTTTTTTGTTCGCAATGTCGTAATTTTGCGCGACGAATAGCCTTTTCGCTAGTCGCTGTCGATCCAAATCTCGGTTGCGTAAAGGAGTTAGATCCTTAAACACATCTTTCAACACAGCTTGTATTATCGGAGTCGAGCTTCAGATACCCAAAAGCAGAACAAGAACAAGTTAATTGGTGGAAAATT